AGTTTCTGAAGCAGCTGGGCCATCACTGCCCATCAGCATCAAATCTATCTAAACAAAGTGCCATCACACAGTATATAAGTAAACCAATTTCACTAACAAAATCAAAAGCTATAGAATTACAGATCACTAAATTTATCGTCAAACATTTTTATCCTTTTTCATTGGTAGAAGAAACAGAATTCCGTAATCTGATTAAGATGCTTGCACCAAATTACATTGTACCTTCTAGAACAGGGGTCTTCAAACTTTTTTATTCAAGGGCCACAAAAATAATCAAATGCTCTTGGTGGGCCAAAAGTTTATTAACACATATAATTTTTAATTTTATGATAATATTTAGGTACCTACCTATATAAATAATATAGGTAGGTTTATATTTTTGTATAAAATATTGTTTACTTTACAATATACTTAAATAAAATAAATAGGTATAAATATAATATAATATAATTACATTTTTGAAATAATTTTTTTATCCATATTTACCTATGCGTCCTATGAGGGCCACGGGCTGGTTAAAACTTGTTCGCGGGCCGGATCCGGCCCGCGGGCCGTAGTTTGGAGACCCCTGTTCTAGAAAAACGATATCAAACAGTTTACTAATACATTTGTACGAAAGTGTTCTTGATAAAGTTAAAACTGACCTACATGATGTGACCGCCTTATCTTTGACCACAGGTGGTTGGACATACATCAACAACCAACATTATATAGCCTTAACCGTCCATTTTTTAAATTCTGAGACTAAATTGTGTTCTAGACTAATTGGTGGCATCAACTATAATGAGCAGTGTACGTCAGTTGAACTTGCCAAGTTTTTGATGGCTACTGTTAAAGCATGGAATATTGAACATAAAATATCAGCAGTTGTCACGGATAATGCTGCAAATATAGTTGGTGCTGTAAAGAAAAATAATTTGAGACATGTCCCATGCTTTCCTCATGTCCTTAATACCGGCATTCAGCGTGGTCTGACACATTTGATAACTGTCATAACTAAAATAAAAAATATAGTTGAATTTTTCAAGCAAAGTTATGGGGCTCTGTATAAATTACAGAACCATCAAAAACAAATGGGATTACCAGATCTTAAGCTGATTAAGGAGTGCAAAACTCGTTGGAATTCAGCCTATCACATGATGGAAAGGATACTAAAGTTAAAAGAACCCTTGTTGTCAACATTAGCCATAACCAACAATGATTTAAATTGCATAACTGAGGAGAAATGGCAAATGGTATGCGTGCGAGTTTCTGAAAATTTTTGATGAATTAACAACTGAGATGAGTGTTGAAAATGTTGTTACCATCTCAAAACAAAATTTATTTTATTTGTTTTTACTGGAGCATTTGCGTAAATTTATTTTTGACATCAACATGCACCGTGACATAATTTCAATGGCTGCAGAAATAAAGGCAACATTGGATAAATACTTCAAAAACATTGAAGAAAATTACGTTCAATCCCAAGCAATTTTACTCGACCCGCGTTTTAAAAAGTATGGATTTTCCAGTAATAACAAATTTGAAACGTGTAAAGTAAGCTTGGGAAGAAAACTACAGGAAATAAATGTTCAAAATATGTCAAACGAACCTGTCGAAGAACTTCCAACTACTTCTACTGTACAAAGTTCGACAAGTATTTGGAAACAGTTTGATGAACAGGTCCAGGGGCGGACTGGCCAGGGAGGCGAAGGGGCAATCGCCTCCCGGGCCCTCGATCATGTCATATTAGTAAAAATTATTTATAATACATAATATTAAATATAATGATAAAACACCGTTCATTTACTATACATATGTACATACAATAATGTCACGGGCTTTTAAATTCGAAGAATTCTAAAAATAAAATATTATTACATTATAATCACTAATCAGTAATCAGTGTTCCCGAAACTGTCTCCGATAATATTCGTCTTATTTTTATCGTCGTTTGTGCAAACCATAGAGTATTATAAATATAATAATATTACTCTATGGTGCAAACGACCTTATTCGATAAGTAATGTGTCGACGAGCATGTATACTACATGTTACAATTATATTATTATATCACATTTTTATGAGACGAGAGATTGTTACGTTGTTGTGTAGTTGCGTTAATACAATTTAAAATTTAATTTTGATTTTTAAAAATTCTTCACTAAACGTAAGTATAATATATTAATATGGTAAACTGTACACAAAATAATATTATGCAATCAATTATAATATATGTAATATGTTAAGGGATTGGTGGTGGTTAGTTTTTTCAATCAAAATATACCAATGATTACGTGTGCAAGCCCGGATTAAGGGGGGGGGGGCAAGTCCCCGGGGCCCGCGTGTGTAAAGGGCCCATAGTCTTCTCGGCTTATAATTACATCGAGTGATAATTTTCACTTTTTATAGTACCTACAAGAATATTTTTATTTTTAATTTTTTTTCTTGTTTGAACTAACATGCGATGGGGCCCGTCGACCGTGTTTACCACTTATAGCATGGTAAGTGGGGACACATAGCGTCATAGCCAGGTTTGTGGGTATAAGGAATAGGCATATATTTCGTTATCACTGTTTTTAAAAATAGAATTGGGGAAATTTGTTCATGACGTGACCGTCTCGGTCGTGGATACTCAGAATTCAGATACCTACCGACTAAACTGTCTATTATCTTTATAGTTTATTAGTCACAACATAATATTATTTCTTTCGTATGTAATGTTATTGTTGATGTGTAGTCGTAAAGACGAACAGTTGATGTTTAATGTTTTATAGTTCGTTTTTAATTATTTTTATTAATACGTAATTGGCGTTTATATTATGTCAGCTGCAAGTAAAAAATATTTAAGTGGTAGCCAAAAAAGAAAATTGAGAAAAGAAAATCAAGACAAAATACAAAAGTTACCAAAAATCGATACTTTTTGTGTTAATTCGTCAGCTGGTTCTAAGAAAGGTATTATATAAAAAATATATTTAATTAACTATTGTTAACTATTAGGTATACCATTATTAAGTATATAAATTAAATATATACCTCGATAAAAACAATTATGTATTTTATAGATGTATCTCAAAATTCTGAAATACAGAAAATAACAGATTTACCAATTAAATCGGCAGTAATTAAAATTGATAATGATGAACAGCAAATTCATAACTCTAGTACAGGTAATAAAATACGTCATAACATATTTAAATTTTTAGTATTATTATTTTACAATATTGTTAGTGTTTAATATCTGAAATTCAGGTAGATAATTGTACAGTTAAACAAATAACCATTTTCAATGTAAATTTATAATTCTATGAAAAAAGTAGAACATTTTTAAATGAAATTATTGATTCAAAATTAACATGCTTATGTATTTTATAGATGTATCTCAAAATTCTGAAATACAGAAAATAACAGATTTACCAATTAAATCAGCAGTAATTAAAATTGATAATGATGAACAGCAAATTCATAACTCTAGTACAGGTAATAAAATACGTCATAACATATTTAAATTTTTAGTATTATTATTTTACAATATTGTTAGTGTTTAATATCTGAGATTCAGGTAGATAATTGTACAGTTAAACAAATAACCATTTTCAATGTAAATTTATAATTCTATGAAAAAAGTAGAACATTTTTAAATGAAATTATTGATTCAAAATTAACATGATTATGTAATTTATAGATGTATCTCAAGATTCTGAAATAAATAATTCAAATGTTGCAAAGGGTGTATTAGTTCAGTCAGCAGTGATGTATATGCACTACAAGGATTCCTTTTACTGGCCAAGCATAATTGATGACAACTTTATATCCTATTGTATTGAAAAGGGACCAGAATTTTTTCAAAATGATAATTGTTCATTTGAAAAGTCAGCTAGAAAGAAAGGTGATTGGTGAATATAGAAAAGTTTAATAAATATTATATTAGTTTAAAATATAAATTATTATATTTATTATGATTAGTATTTCTTTGACTTAAACATTAATTATTATATTACTATTGTTAATTATTTTTATATTTTAGAAAATGATCACACAAGGCATCTATCACTAACTTCTTTTCAAAGAAAGTTACCAAATGGCGAGAAATGTAAACGACAATGGTTAATGTATTCTCCTAGTCAAGGTGTTGTATATTGTTTTATGTGCAAGCTTTTTGGAAGTGACCATCAAAAGAACCAAAGTCCCTTTGTAGGTACTGGATTTTCAAATTGGAAAAAATCAAATAAAATTGAACTTCATGAAAACAGTCTTGAACATCAAAGTGCTACAACAAAATGGTTAGTACGATCAAATACAAAAACATCTGTTAATAAAGAAATGTGTAGACAAATTTTAGTTGAAAGGGACTATTGGATTCAAATATTTAAGCGTATAACAACTGTTATTAAGTTTCTGGCTATAAGAGGATTACCTTTAAGAGGAGATCATGAAATTTTTGGAGTCAACAACAATGGAAATTATTTAGGCTTGTAGAAACTACAAGAAAAACAAGAAATATACAGTAAAAATGGTATTACTGTCTTGTTCAAAGAAAATCCATTTGCAGTAATTGTTGTAACACCCATTATAAAAAGAGCTCATCAAATGAAAGAGGCAAAATAAATAATATTTGTTGACAGCACAAGTGCAAGTGATCCTTTGAACCATTCAATAACATTTGTTATGTGCCCAAGTTCTGCAGGTGCAGTGCCTTTAGCAATCATTTTAACAAAAGGTCAAACGTATGAGTGTTATTGTCAAGGATTTAAATTAATAAATGAAGCTGTTCTTGAAAGTTTTTGTGGTCAGAGATATTCCAATTTACTTCTAACTGATCAAAGTTCAGCTGAAATTAATGCCATCAATAGCGTTTGGCCAAAAAGCAACACATTACTTTGTACATTCCATGTCTTACAAGCAGTTAAACGAACGACGCATCCCTAATTTATTCTGCAATTTAGTCTCGACTCCTGCTTGATCAAAACTCACAAGTCGTAAGTAAAATGTTGAATATTATTAAAACTATTAAAACTATTTTATTAATACTCTATTATAATATGATATATTTCATATTTTACGAATCTTTATACACCGATTAAATTTTAAATTAATATAATGATAGTACCTAGTCAATTTTTTTAATACGATTCAATATTTAAAAGTATACAATTTGACGAAATACATTTTCTAAAAATTAAAATATTTCTTTAGCATTCAATAATATTATTTTGTTGCTTCGAGATTTCTTCAATTTATGGGACATGTTGTATTTTAAATCTGTATTACATCAAATTACTTTAATTATTCATTTTGGTTTTTGAAATTGTTTAACATTGGTTGGTTTGATTCAAAAGTACCTATTGTTATATTATTACGAACAACAATTTTGTTTTATTATGATTGATTTAATTCTGTATATAATTCTGTAGTATTAATTCTGTACAATTCAAAAGTAACAGTTAATTTTCCTTGGTTAGTATAAATTCAAATTTATTACATTAATTGGTAAATAGAATAACTAAGTATTTAACTTTCAGCGTACCTAATGTGATTGAATATACAATGTAAATATTGTTAATTTTTATTTTCAAAATTGAAATCATTCATCGTAATATTTATATTGCAAAATAACAACGTTAATTTGATATAAATAACTAATTTATTGTAGTATAGTGTATAAATATTGAAATATTTTGTCTCATTTATTATATAAGCTTTATGCCTATAATATAACTTATGTTTAGATGACTACATACGTATATAACTACGGAGTTGGTGGAGGAGGAGGAAAAAGGGGTCGTGGCGATGGTGGCCATCAGGCTCGTGGTTGTGATGGTCGAGGTGGTGGTGGAGGCGTCGTGAACCGAAACAAAAAGTAAATTTTATACCGACTTACTAATTTGTTTTTATGGATGAGTTGTATCTACGTAGTGGATCAAATATAGGTTTAATGCGTCGCCACCTTCCGGAACTAATATATAACTTATGGTTATTGGTTATTACAACCGTTTATCACAATTTATCGAAACACGGCGATACACGATAATACACACTTATAATCGTGTTAGTCGTGTACAAATTGTGTACAAGTGTACATGTAAAATGGTATAAGGTATACATTTAAAATGTCGTTAATTAACTCAAATCGCGATGGTGAAGTTTTTGTGGATGACGGTTTCATGTTCTTATTTGACGCTTTTAGCTCTGACGGTTCAAAACGGTTTTGGCGATGTAGATATAAAAGAGAATGTAAAGCTCGTGTGCATACTGGTAAAACAGACTTAATTATTCTTAAGCGTATAAACACTCATACTCATGACTCTGATGCTGCTTAAGTTGAAGCAAATATCGCAGTGTGCAATATTAAAAAACGTGCTAGAGAAACTATGGAACCAACGTCTACAGTGATAAACGAATGCATTTCTGGATTATCAGAAGCATCTAAGGTACTTATTTGAAACTGCCCTTTTTTGCCCTGGCTTCCCAAATATATAGGTTTAATGCGTCGCAATCTTCCGGAACTTCTTAAAAAAAATTAAAACCGGCAAGCCAGCCCATACGGCGGCATTGCGAAAAAACAGTCCCCTGGGATGGTAGGTCGCATATTACGAAGAACGGGCACATAATGATATAAGTGAATTTCATTGCGCCATCTTGTGGTTGACGGTAATACAAACGGCCGGCGCCTTGAAAATAATAAAAGGCAATCGTGCATACAAGGCCTGTTATCACTAGTCGTCCGAGAAAATAGTCCTATAGCAATTAATATATATTAATGCATAGGTTGTAAAATAATTAAAGCATAAATAACAAATTTAATAGTATGTACATGTTTATAAATAATAACATTGTTAAATATTTTTTTTTTTGTTAAAAATAAAAACATTAAAGACAAGAATAAATTTTTAAAGATTATTCTAAATATGATTTTTTTATTATACGACCAGACACAATTATAGTACACGGAATAAAAAGTATACTAGAATGACCGATGCGCGTGACACGATTGTAAAAATAATAAAGACAAAAGAGTAAAGACGACGAGCAGTCGGCCCGCAGCCAACGGCGGAAGTGCCGACCAACAAAAGTCTCATAGAAGACGCTCGACAACACTAGCGCCACCAGCGGTTTAAAACGCAGACAACAAAGTAAAGTTGCATTCTTTGCATTAAAAACCGTTAGAAACTAGCGCTCGGGTGAGCAACTCGAATACTATTTATGGGTGGTGTACTTTATGTATAGAGAACATTCATTAAAATTTAAAATCATTCGTTATATTATATTATATTATATTATATTATATTTATACAATTATTATTTAACATTTTATTATATTTTATTTTTTTATACTATTATATTTAATTATTTTATATTTTTTTTCATATAGGTACTTAATATAACTTTGAATTTTGTAAATGCATACTTGTTGCATATATTAATAATTTTTACTGCATATTTTAATGATTTTGATTGCATATTTGTTGCATATTTTAATGATTTTTACTGCATATTATATGGCATATTTTGATACTTTTTATTGCATATGAATCCGGGCTCCAGTCATAATATACTATGAGTGGTAGCCGGTGCCCGGTAGGTAGACGCGAAAAAAATAAGAATTATTGGTATTTTCCATTTGGTATTATCAATGAAAAAATTGTTTACAATTCCAATTAGCATTTACAAAACTCTTCTAACCAAGATATAATTGTTACGAGATCAATCACTCCATCGGTATCGTCATACACTCAACAGGATTCACCTTATAGTTCTGCTTCAACATATAGTTATTTTAATAGTCAGTCCCATGAAGATACAAAATGCTCGTCTCAATCGATTCCTCAAACACAACAATATAATCTTCAACAAAAAACGATGGAAGATATATCAACCCATTGGCGTGTCCAGACCTCCATGGCTGGGGAGGCCAGTTATAAAATTTAAATTTTTTTTATACCACAGCGATCTATAATATATACCTATCTATATTTGTAACTTATTTTTGTTGTATGGAAACTATATAGCACCTAGAATTTTATCACCCCGCCAAAATTAAAGATTTTCTTGATCTTAAAATTGGTTTCTTATACACTATTACAACTATGAACTAATAAATAAGGCCTATTAACTAATGTGCTACCTAATTAGTTTTTTTTTTATAAATATTTTATCAACTATAGGACAGGTAGTACCTACCTACATCAACCTTCTCTATACATCTTTTTACAGTTATTACACAATAAACAATACACATAAAACAGTTATTTATTAGTTTGGTTAAACAAGTAATTTATTAAAATATTACAACTAATAAAATCCAATAAGTTTACAATTCCGTTCGCCTATTAACTGGTTTTAGTATTTTAAAATGTTCAATGACATCATCAATATTTATATTGTAGGCAGACTCCTGTTCAATACTTATTGTTAATAACGCATCCAACCGGTCTTGCTGCATTGTGCTCCTAAGTTTTGTTTTAATAAAACTTAACTTTGAGAAAGTTATTTTACAGGAACAGCTTGTTACCGGAATAGTCACAAATTCTTTTAGAATTTTAAATATATTTTGAAATATAATATCTCTTCCAATCCCATAATCAGCCAACCATTTTATTAAATCATCACATGTATTTATGTTGTCTTTACTGATTGAACAATTTGATTTAAGTAATCGAATCTCAGCATCTAAATCATTAAAATCAACTCCAAATATATTGGACAAATTTATAAGATCATCATTAGTAAATTCTTGTTTTATCAAACGCGCAACACACTTTATCATATTAATAGCCTCTTGATTAAATCTAATTTCTATATCACTTATCATTATATCTAACATTGGAAAAAACACTGATATTTTCATTTCTTCTTCTTTATTCTTCATTATATGTTGAGTTTTATGAGATTCGTCAATTTTAGATGAAACTCTTCTTCTTTTCAAATCGGGTATCAAAATATCATTATCGTTGCACATTTGAACAGTTTTTTTAAAAATATCTTGGAATTCTTTTTCATTGTTTCTTTATGATATTAAAGATTGTTTCAGTGATGTAACAAGTTCAACAGCAGTTAATAAATTTATGTTCGAAGATTGCAGATACACACTTACTTTTAAAACTAAGGATAAAATAGGATTTAACATAAGCATTGCAAATATAAATTCAAAGGATTTCATTTTATTTAATATTCCTAATGCTTTTGCTCTTACATCGGCCTGCTTTGTTCTATCCGAAATTTCTTTTATAGCAACCAACAATACTGTATAGTTTTCTTTAATAGCACTAACTGCTTCTGCACTGCAGGCCCTCCGTGTTGTCGATACAGACTTTAAGGTCTTAAGTTTTAAGTTTAAAGAATTTGCAATTGTTTCCAAAATACCGTGTCTAGTGCAACTGCCTTCAATAAATGAGTAGATCAACTCAATGTTACCAAAAAAATCAAAAGTTATTCTATTTTCTCTCCCAACTGAATCTACTAAAATCAAATTGAGACAATGTCCATAGCAATGAACAAAGAACGCTTTATCATTTTCCTTTTTGAATTTAGCTTGAACTCCGTTTACACTTCCCGACATTGTTGCTGCACCATCAAAGCACATTGATAAAACAGACTCCCATATTATACCAAAGTCATTAATAACATCACGTATTGCATTAAAAATAGTCTGCGAATCAGTTGACATTATTCTTTTCATACCTACAAACTGCTCCACTGGACATTTTTTTTCATCATCAAAATACCTTAAAACTATTGATAGCTGTTAGTGGTGTCCTAATCGCTTGTCTCGTCAGCAATAATTGATATTTTTTTATTTTCAATTTTATGTTTTAACTGATTTTTTAGTACTTGACTTATTGATATAATTAGATCATTTTGAATTATATTACTACAATAAGTCGCGTTTTTTGGACCTAATTCTAAGTGAGATTTAAGGAGAGGATCATATTTAGCCAAAAGTGTAACAATATCTTTGAACAGACCTTTATTGTAACTACTTTCCTTTTCATTTTTTCCTCGGAATGAACGTCCACCAACACAGAGTTATATCAATTAAGCGTTGCATGATTTGTCTATTTTTTAATCTTTGCTGTTCTTTTTGACTGTGTATAAGTTCTCTCTCTTCATCAGTCATCTAAAACTGTATCTATTGGCTTTAAATGCAAAAAGTTTGTTAATGAAGTTATACTATTTAAATGAGTGTTTGAAGTTTGGTGTGCTTTAAATTTATTTGTATATTAGCTAATTTCCAATTATTAAATCCAACTTTTGAATACGCAGAATTTGTATAGCCAGCATTTATTCCTGAAGAATTGGTGAACATGCGACATGGAAAACAAAAAGCTCTGTCTAATTTCACACTGTACTCAAGCCAATTGAATAATTCATACAAAGATTTATTAAAGCATCGAAATCTGTCTCCAAACTTTGTTCGTGGATACAATTTAAGTTTGGGTTGAAATGGGCCTCGAACAACCCTATCTTTACGTTCTAACTGGGATACCGGTAATAAATTAGCAGGATCATCAGGATCTAAAATGTTTAGAATTCATGCATAAGATAAACAATTTCAATTTGGTACATTATACTTACTTGATTTGATCATTTAGTGTTTAAAATTTTAAAACTTGTTTTCTTAATAAATTTATTACAAAATTAACAACATTTAAATAATATGAAGTATCAACAAACATAAATACACAACATTGATCAACACAAATATTATCAGTTAGGTATAACTAATGTAACTAATTAGTTATAAAGTTTATTGGTTAATGGTTACTACAAAAGTAAAAAATTACAATATTTATTTACCTAATATACATAATAACAAGTTAACAACAAGGATCAACAACCAATACAAAACATTGACCCAACATAGTACCATATTTTAAATATTATATCTTATATGGTAAAATATAATTTAACTTTGTAAAAATATGTATGCTTTTGCACTTAGTAGCCTAGATCAGTATGCCACCAAACACTGATCACAAATAGTAAACCAAACATAGAACACAGACAAAATTACAAATTATTATTATTATTATATTATTTCTACCTATCATTAGGATATACACATGTTATGTTATTAATTAAATGTTTAACTAGATACAATGCATCTATAAACACAGTCTAGAATTGAACACAAACAGCCAACATAAACAAACATTAATACATTATGAATATTGTTAATTCATAAGTTAAATAAAACAGTTTACATAATATGTATAGACAATATTATTAAAATAATTGTATATAAATACCTAACACCTCATTTACAGTATTTGACTCAGTAACTTTTTCAAATTCTTCAACTGTATGACTACAGTGTGTTAATGGTACTGGATCATCTGGATCATTGTCACCTAAATTAATAAAATGAATATTGTTAATTCAAAAGTTAAATAAAACAGCTTACATAATATGTATAGATTATGGATAGTGGATTGGATTATATTATATTAAAGTACTAATATAAACTTACCAGAAGGGACGTACTAAAATGCAGACCCGCAGACCTGCAGACCCGCAGACCCATACGCACAAGGGTACAACGCACTATTTACATGCTGCAGACCATGATAAAGAAAATTGTCCTTATCGTGGTGCAGACTGTGTAGTTGATAAGAAGTCCAGTGGGTTTCCAAATCATATTCCGATTTCTCATACGATCACATTATTTGTCAAATATCGCTTTGGTAGGTACTTCAACCATCTATTATTACATCTATTATTAAAATTTAATATTATTAACCTAATCTAGGTTTATAAGTCGGAATTCCACAGTGCCTATAGACTATATTATTATATAACCATTTATAGCTATCGCTTATTGATTTCAGATACGGACTATTGACTAATGACTATTCACAATTCACCACAGCCAAGGTGGAATTTTGGAACAAGTATTTATAATTAATGGTAGAATGGTCTGGAAATAATTTGGCGGGGAGACCGGCCATATAATATTGTGAATTAGGTACCTAATTTTTATTTTATGGACAACTAGTTCTTACTACTAACCCAACTGTGAATATTGAACAACTGTTGGTTTCTGAATAAGATAGTTTTATTGTAGAGCAAGTAGCCTCATGCAATATTATATCAAGAATTATACTACCGTCTACCACCACTTTTTGAAAGTAAAGATTTGTTTGAGTCAAATGAACACAATTTTACAGGTATTACACAGTTTTAATAAATACCTATTCAAAATTACAATTTTTCATCAATATAAATATATTATATTATATTTGTTTTTCCAACCTAATTTACATAATTTTAAGTTAACTACAAAATTTAAAACCCTGTTAGGTCAGGAGCTTTTGGTGTATTGTATTTTAATGAATTGTAAAATTCAACCTATTTATGAACTTAGTTTTTAATTGAATCCATCATTTTAATACATAATATGTGAGTCCATTGCAATCTGAGATCTGAGTCTGAACTCAGTAGCGGACCCAAGGGGGGGGGGACGAATTTTCAAAAATTGAACAACCTTTTAGTTTAGCCAAAAATAATAATAAAAAAACCGTTAATATTACCGTCCAAGGAAAGGGGTGGTAGGAGGGGGGTTAATCTACCACTGTCTGAACTGCTTACCAACAGATTAAAAATTGTAATAGTATATACTTGTAAATAAATACATTTTACATATTTTTATAGTAATGAACTAAATAAATAACTCATTGATACTTATCTTTCTGCAGTGGGACAGGTGTATTTAAAATTAAATAATAAATTACAAAAAAATAATTAGTTGAAATATTGTATAGATTATAGCACAGCTAACTATAAGAATATACATATATTGTTATATTATTTTGAGGTATGAACTTGACAATATAAATATTTTCAATTTTGTTGACTATGATATAAATAACACATGAATATATAATATTAATATATAATGAAATATCATATTATGTAATACAATAAAATATAAAAATTATTTTTATGCTATATTTTTAGATAGCAGTTATAATGCAGAACATTAGAAATAACACATTATAACTAGTTCAATATAGTATATTAATAATACTAAAAAAATTTAAGAAAAGAATAAAAAATAGTGTGATTAGGTACTTACAAAGAAATCTGTTTTAATTAAAAAAGTTATACCTTCTTGGTATTTGATAGTTGAAAACTTGAAACTAATCAATTTTTTAGTATTTTACAATTATTTGTTTTAATAGATTGAAATTTAAAAAAATACGTATGACAAACACATTACGCTCTACAGGATGGGCAAATGTATGAATTTTCCGTTATATCGCAAACATCAAGCCCCATACACTGTATATGAAACCAATGATGCCCTGTTTTGCAATACACCCATTCAATTGTTGTTGAGGGATCTTGATTTTGGTTCTGTGGATCTGGGCATCCACTTTTATCACAATATGATATATCTGTCCAGTAATTATTGGCAATATTTGTTAAATAATCCATTGGATCTGTATTACCAGGAAGCGCATAACATGTCATTTGAGTGGAAATGTTAACACTACATTTATAAGGAAACATTTTCAGCTTTGTTTTATCAAATTTATAAGCAATAGGTGGTTCTGTATCTTTTCTCATGTAATCGAGTATTTTATTTTTTATGATGTTTTTGTAAACAGGTAAATTGCATTGCAAGTGGTATTGGTGATGGTTATTATTTTTTTTAATTATTGTCTCTCCAAATAAACAAGCGTATACACCACAGTCATAGCCATTAAATTGTTGGAATACCTTTGGTCCGTAGATGGTAAAGCGTTTTTCATCAAAATCCTTACCAAAAAAATTATAATACAATTTAAATAATTTTATAGTGAATTTTATATCATCACGATTAACTGAATTTAAATTACTGTCAAGAAACATGATATTATACAGTTTTGTGAAAACAACAATAAGATAGCAGTGATTGAACTTGCAAACAGGTAATAAAACTATGTCATACTCAGGCACACGATATGTTAAAAATTCTCTCATTCCAACTTTTAACATAGTCATGTTTGCTGTTTCAGATTCATTATAGTGGCTTAAAATCATGTCATCACATGTAAAGAATGTAACAGATTTGTCGGTATTGTTTTCTTCGTGGCATAATATTGACAAATAAACCCCAATGACTGTACCATATAAATATAATTCAGTAGAATCTTTAACACTATCTTTTGTATGATACAATGGCTCAAGATGTTTCTTATTAACATACCGACCGCAAACTTTAAATGTTTGCAGTTTGTTATACTTCATCTCAAATGTATCTTGCTGTGTATCGTGTAATTTATTATTTATTGAAAAAGATGGTACATCTGTGTGAGTTTTAAAAAACGTATGCCCACCATCAGATATAATTATTGGTTTCTCTTTAGGTATTTCAGTATCAACAACATTACTACATATGGAACTAAATTGAGTAGTATCTATTATATTATCATTATTATAACGTTTTGGAGTTGAGTGAGTTCTGCATATTTTAGTTGGAGTTATTTCATTGTCTTGCGGTTTTTGTATGAAACGTCTTTTAACAGAGTCACTTTTTGTTGCTGTTGGAATCATGAAAGATTTAATGGTGTCTTTTTCTGCATGAAATAACTCCGAGTCATCTGCTGCATCAACAACCGCCACATTCTTTGGAATTTTTTTCCTTCCAGTAATGAAACCTCTGGATTTCCTCAATAAAGTATGTAACTTTGCTCGGTCTTGTTCAATGTCCATGTAATTAATTGACATTCTTACAGCTTTAATATGATGACATTTTTTTTTCAGACGACACGTACATGTGTCATTTTTTTCAGAGAACAACTTTACCAAGTAATCATCACTTTCACCCCTGACTGCAAAGCATTGAAGTTCAGGTAAATGTTTTACTCTATTTTGGATTACAAGTAATTTTGCCAAGGAAAAGATACTGTAATCTCGTTCTTCATCAGAAATAGCTTGATTTATTTCTTTGTTTTTGAAGCAATATGGGACTTGGTCTAAGTTAACTGATGGTTTTTGATACACGGAATCTTTTGGTGGTATGTAAAATTCTATACAATATTTGTCACTCAGCTTATATTCACCTAGCTTACTAAGTCCACGAATTATTTCTTTTTCATAATGAAGACACAGCTGATAAATGGAAATAGCGCAAATTTGTGCTTTTACTTCAGAAGTAAATAAACGTTTTAAAACAGCATTGAAGCTTTCAGATGGATTGTTGGTTATTCCACTTCTATCTTCATATATATTTACATTTGGATGCTGAAGTATCCACTTACCACTGCTTAACAAGTCTATTTTCAAATGTTTGTTAAAATAATTTAAAAATTCTGCACTCCATACAGAAGACATTTGTTGAAGTTTCTGACAGAATTCTGTTTCACTTTCACTATCTAGTAAGTCCCAAATATTATTTTTATAAATTATTTCATCACTTTGTTCTGAATTTGATTTTTTTTTCAGCCAGAATCCAACATCTCTTTGTAAATGATTCCAACAATAAAACAATTTTATATCTGGAAGCACTGTTTTAATTGCTTTTATGATTGCTGCTTCTCGGTCAGTCACAATCTTTAAACCTTTGTACCCAAGTGCATTACATCTTAATAAAACAGTTTCAAAAAAAACTTTATGAACTTCGTACTTTTTTGTATGATGCATAAGATATGCCAATGGTATAACTGGTTTGCTTTCAAATAATGGATGTTTAAAAATCAGAATCGACAGGTAAAAATCTCCGATATTGAAAGTGGTGTCATAATGCAAGACTACTTCAGGTAAATGACTAATAGTTGTAAAAACCTCTGCCATATTTTTAGTCATCAAAACCACTACAAAGTTTGGAATAAGTTGCATGTTTTGAATAAAGTTTGGCACTTCCTCGTGTAATATGTATAACCCAAATACATCATCACTTGACAGCATGCGCCTTTGTCTTTCCACAGCTACAGTGTTTGCACACTGTTTATAATTCCTCGGCGCCATTACTGGTTCCTGAGCTGGGTGTGCATCAACTAGTGTCACTTGCTTCCTATATAATTGTTTAGGTGGGCCAACTAAATTATCTTTTTGACACTGAAGTTGAGATTTAGCTGTCATAACATGTGGTCTAAAATTGTCATTTTCCGGTTTAAGATTCGTGTTCCCATGAGGTGTTTCAATGATACCATCAGTAGATCCAAAATAATGAACAATGGTCGTAGAAGCAAATTTACCATCGCTCAATAATGAATATGCCATCTTTGTAAACTTCTTATCAACAACAAAAGATTTGTAATAAATACATTGGAGATATGGATCAGCTTTAGGAATTTTCTTTCGACCGTATTCACGCCATCGAAACTGGTCACTTTTCCAATCCATTGGCTTACTACTATTGTGATACAAAATCACATCTCCTGGTGCAGGTTTCACTGGAGGCGAAGTACAATAATCTTCATTATTAACGTTTGTTAATAACCGCCGGTACTCTTCAAATGGTAAGTTATTAAGGGATGTTAATAATACCTTATTCTTAAACGCCATTCCTATGGATGGATGACATGTGTTAATTTTGTAATTTAAGAAATTAGTGTAAAACTGTAATTTGTATATTATAGAATAATTTTTAGACATTTTGTTTTGTTTACTGATATCTATGTACATTTGAACTTGGAGTAACTAATTTATTAAAATATATATATAATATATGTGTTAACAAGAGTATGTATAATTGAAATCAGGTAATTTAAAATTAAAGTTAACAAATCGTTAGTTGGTTTTTAATTTTTTTTAGTTTTGGAATACGGCCATCTATCTAAATGGGAGATTGAGATTCAACACTCCAGCAAATATTCATGATGTTAAATATATTTTAGAAAAATATTATTTAAAAAAAAGGTAGGCAAGTGGGTGTCGCTCTGCTGTACAGTATGTTACAAGTGAGTCACTGTAATGGATTGTGTTAAATTTGAATCCAATGATATAATATCATTGTATAAGAAAAACAATTCTTAGAGAAGACAGTCAGTCAGCCTACCTATAATATTACTTAGTATATTTAATGATATTGTGAATAAAGTAATTTATACATTATAATTTATAAGTTATAACTTATAACCTATTTATGTAGAAGGTAGAACCTTGTTTTAAATTGTCAATCCTTAGATATAAAGTTGAACATTTTATACATTTTTAACTACAAAATAATATTAAATTTGATCAATTTTCTCAACATTTGAACTTTAAATCCTTATAAAAAATATTTGTGCATATGTATTTTTAATATTTTAGATTCTGAGCGGAGCGATGAATGTATTGGTTTTACAATGATGTATGTTTTTATATTTTTATTTATATTTTTGTGTCTGTCATCACGTTTTAGGACAGTAAAAGTGCTTGGATTTTCTTCATCAGTAGCTTTTCTGATAGGAAAGTGAATCTAGTTGGTACTTTGGGGGGTCAAAAGTATAAATTTCCCAGTAGTTTTCACAAGCGCCGGGAAAAAACAACATAAAAATTAAGGAAAAACGGGAATTTTTACGCAAAATTGGTTTTCCAAAAAATCGATTTTGGTTATTGGTGTAACTCTAAAACAAATGAACGTATATACATGAAATTTTCACTGGTTGTTAATATTTGCATTTTCTATACACGATAACATTTTCAAAATATTTTGATTTATTTTGAACTGTTTAGGGACATTTTCATTTTCCATTTTTTTTTAGTTTTTTTTCTAAAAATATCAATAAAATTTTATTTGTTGGTTGCGAAAGCTTGAAAATTTAATAGAAGGCTCCTAATATGTTGTTTCAAAGGCAGATGAAAAATATTAAAAATCCTTAGTCACAATTTTTTTTTATAAGCATTTAAAGTTCAAAAATTGACAAAATATGGAAAAATCACGAAAATTAGCAAATTATTTTGAGTTAATAATTCGTCAAAATTTTTCTTTTTAAATCTAAGATTTGAAAATGAAACACAAGATTCCTTATAAGATTATCTACCTTTATCAATAAAAAAAATCTCTACCGGACAGTCAAATTAAATTTTTATGAGCGTTTGAAATTCAAATTTTTACAACATTGGATTTTCACTCGATTTCTCATGTAGCGATTTCCTTATTTTGTTGTAATTCAAAAACGAATAACTGTAGATACATGAAAATTTCACTGAATGTTTATATTAGCATTTCCTATACACCATACAATTTTGAAAATATTTTGACTCTTTTTGAGCTGTTTACGGGCATTTTCAGTTTTCAATTTTTTAGTTTTTTTTTTTATAATTGTCAATAAAATTTTATTTGGTGGGCCAAAAAGTCTGAAAATTTAATACAAGCTTTCTTATATATTGTTACAATATCAGTTGAAAAATTTTAAAAATACATATGCACGATTTTTTTTTATAAGCATTTAAAGTTGGAATTTTGACAAAATTTATCAAAATCTCGAAAATTATCAATCGTTGGAATTAAAAAATTATAAAATGTTCAGTTTTTATAACTAAGAGTTGAAAATTTAAAACAAAGATTCTCTTAAATAATTCATACTGTAAACAAAAAATCTAAAAAATATATAAACACACTTATTTCTTACAGACATTTTAATTTCAAATTTAGACAAAATTTCATATTTAAACCAAGAATTACGATTTTAGTTATTTTGTTGTGATTGTATAATATTATTCGTGGGTACTTGACATTTCTAAATTAATCTACTATATATATCTATGATAGTATCAGGGTTTGTTGTTGGTGTATAACGCGTTATAAGTACCTAATGGATATTGTGATATGATTAATTTGGAATTCATTATAGGTCAATTTTTTTTAATACCATAGATATGTATATGATATGTCTTATACCTAGAAGGACATACCGTCTCCGCTCAGAATCGTTTTTCTTATACAATGATATTATATCATTGAATTCAAATTTAATACCATCCATTATACAATGACCCACTTGTAACCTACTGTACAGCAGAGCGACACCCACTTGCCCACCTTTTTAGATTTAATTTTGGTTACAGTATGGACTATTTATGAGAATAAATTATATTTAATTACATTTATTTGAAAATGTTTGAGATTTTGATAATTTTTGTTAAGTGCCTCTTTAATATTTCTCAATTGCTATTATAAATACCTACTAATGAGGAACCTTGTATTCAATTTTCAAGCAATTTCAAATGTATAAATAATTTAAATAGAAATATTTTGAAAATGTTATCCCGTATAGAAAATGATAAAATAAACATTTTATGAAAATTTCAAGTACGGTAATTGGTTTTTGAATACCATCAAAATAAGAAAATCGTTGTATGATAATTTGTTAATGTACGGCATACGGTTGAATATCCAATGTTTAACTTCAAATAATCCGATCCGCAAATAAAAAATCTAGGTACCTACCTACTTTAAAAAAAAATATTTTTATTTGTTATGACATTTTCCCAAGTGAAAAGATATTGACAGAGACCAATAAGGTCGTTTCAATGAACTAATTCGAAGAAAAAAATTCGGTACCTATGTAAAACTGTTTATAATTATTATAAACTTTGATTTTGCCTTTGGTGGGGGGGGGGGGGAAGCTGTATTTCTAAACAATTTTATACTGTTAAAAACATATCATCGAAATTTTCTGAAAATTATGACTTGAAACCCCCGTCACCCCTAACAATGACTCTGGAGCCGCCCCTGTAGGTACCTAGTTCCCAATTATGATTTTACGTAAAGGTAGAAACAGATCATTAAAAATTAACTATATACCTACTCTGCCTTGTAACAGGCGATTTTTACTCCCTGAAGATTTTTACTAGGAAAGTAATAATTATCGGACGTTAATATTTCCTATACTTACAGGTGTATTTAATCACTGGTGCAGTGGCGTATTTAGGAATTTTGCTAGGGGGGGATGAAATATATAATAATAGGTACACCCATAAATACGTACATAATATACATTCTTAAAATCCCCTAACTTGTTGAGGTTAATGTGGATCAAGGCGAAATAAGATGCTAAGTTCATCGATAACCTCATCTGGCAGGGTTATTGTATTGACCGGTGCCATGCCAATAAAGCCAACACATTAAGTCGGTTCTAATAAACAAAGTACCTATATAATAATTTCTACTTAATTTATAATTATTATTTTATCAATATTAGATAAGAAAATTGAATCTGTCATACTATTTATTAGGTATAATACTAAGGGCCGTATTTAAGGGTGGGGCAACGGGGACATTTGCCCCGGCCCCCGAGCGGCCAATTTTTGAAACATTTAGGGGGCCGTAGGCGCTGTTGTATATTATATAAATACATTTTTTTTTTTTTGGTAAGGATTCTGGATTTGTTTGAGTACTTCTATATTACTTGGACTTTTTGCATTGCATGACTATGATTCGGACAATGAGGCATTTACTCATTTTGTCAATCAATAATGAATGATAACTATTAATTTTTATAATTTTTTTTATAGATTACAATAATTGTATGTTGTTAATTGTTATACATTTTAACAATAATTAAAATAATGTATCATCGTGATCTATGTTCTTAACAAAATTTTCATAATTAAAAAACGGATTAATTTTTTTTTTTTTGGTGTGGGGGAGGGCGTACTAATATTGTTGGCCCTGGGCGCAAAAATTGTAAATATGGCCCTGTTAACACTTAATAAAAATTTGAAAAACATCGTTCAGGTGTAGCAGTTGATAGTAGATACAGGTGAAGTACAAAATATTTTCAAGAGTTCATGAATATATTGGGATAAATCTCTTTATCACAAACATCTAAAGCATTTAACCCAGAAGTGAATACAATTTTTTCAGTCACTAAAAATAAACCCGCGCCCTATGGTAAATCTACAGTCTTCATGGTAATTTTGTTTTATTAACCGACTATTTATCGGGTTTATTGTAAACACTCATGCATGAAAAATAATTCGCAGAAAATTAAAAAATACAATACACCATACTACCATAGATGTTTTTGTTGACCAGTAGTCACATATATGCCGCGAACGACTATAGTGGCGTATAGTAGGTACATCAGAGCGGTAAAATTACCACGGCTAGAACATTTAGAAAACAGACATACTTAGAAGTAATATCATATTGAGAAATACACAAAAATAAGAAAACTTAACTTAACAAAAAAAAAAAGGCCAAGGGGGGATCTATCCCCATATCCCCCCCGTAAATACGCCACTGCACTGGTGATTTCAACCGTGGGAGTTGTAATTATCGGGAGTAAATTATTCTAAGTAAAGAATTTGTAAAAAATATTTTTCTAAGATTTTAAAATGTAATACAAGATTCCTTATAAGATTATCTACCTTTATCAAAAAAAAAAAATGTCTATAAGAAAGTCAAACTAAATTTTTATGAGCGTTTGAAATTCAAATTTTTACAACATTGGATATTCACTCTATTTCTCATGTAGCGATTTTTTTATTTTGTTGTGATTCTAAAATAAATAACTGTAGATACATGAAAATTTCACTGAATGTTTATTTTATCAATTCTTATACTTGATTTTTCA